AGCTGTTCCTTGAAAAATCATAGAGGGGAGTGGGCAGGAGGCAGGAAAACCAGAAGGAAGAACAGCTTCAGCTTTTTTCTTTATTCTGTAGTAGTTGGGTATTGCCCATGGCTAAAGATGGACAATAGTTTGAGATGCACTGGGGCTCTTGGTAGTCCTAAGAAACCTCCCAAGTGCCTGACTGGTAGGTTAAACTGATTGCCAATCTTACCTGGAGGAAAATTTCCTCATGCCAGGTCTGACAAAGACCACTGGGATTGTCTATCTTCCTCTGTACTGTGGGACACAGCCCATGTCCTAGGATCATCTGGGTGTATTTTACCTATCCAATTCCCTGGTGTTGCAGGGGCTCAAGGCACTAACAGTGCTGTGCACTCTTCCTCTGTGCTTTCATAGTTAGAAGCTTTTGTTTCTGAATGCAAAATCTTAAGTGTTAGGGGGTGTCTTATGGCAGTGGTGAGCAGAGGAGGCCAGAGTGGATGTATGGACCCTTTTGGACAAAAGAAACAAACGCCCATTACATGGTAGTCTGGTTGCAGATGGCTGCCCTCGTGATTTACATGGTTCCTTCCGGTCCAGTAGTTCACACTGAAACCCTTTTATGTTTCAGACAGGAGGAGCTGGGTGGTGTTTTACAGAGAAAGTGCTTGCCAAATATGGACATATGCAGCACAAAACTGCATACAGATTTTCTTGTGGAGAACAGCATCTTAAAAGCTTCCCAGTTAGATTGCTGCTTTTCTGTGTGGACTCCTCTGTTGCTGCAAGAGGCAGGGACTGCACAACTCTAGTAACCACATAGTAGGAGACAGAAGCAGCTGCCTGGTAGCAGTGCATACAAAGTTGAAAATCTCTGGCTGTGCCTTTGGCAGATGTCCATCAGGATTATGACTTGTTCTGATGGCCACTTTTTAAGTAATCAGACACAAGCCATCCCTGAAAGAGCAAGTGTGTGGGCTACTCATTTAGAATGAAGAAGCACTGGCCATTCTGTTCAAGTTGGATGTGTGGTGTTTGAAAACTCAAGTACTGACTTTTGAGCTGTGGGTGCATCTGTTTAGCTGTTTCCTGTGGTTCCTCCTGTTTCCTCTCCCTCCCGCTGTCAATTCTACTGCAATAGCAGCTTCTGCCTACGTGCTGTTACTTATTGGTAACCTCTAGTGGCCAGTGGTGACTAAGATGCCCAAACTAATAGCACAACAGCTAAAGGAACTTGATCTGTCTTGTGTGTCATTAAGTAAAGTACATCACTTAGATGCATATCCAATAAGAGCAGGATTTGATTAACAGCATAACAAAAGTCAGTTTTTTGCTTGCTGCTTATTTGTGTAAACTCTTCAGCCCCACTGTAAACTCTAACTTACTTGTCCCTTTAGCTGTGTAATTACTGAACCTAGGAGTCTCCTTTTTAAGACTGCTATTAGGCTTAAGACAGTACAAACAGAAGTTAAAGAGCCTTAAGGAAGTGGGGAAAAGCTTAGCGCATACAGTTCTAGTTGAAGCTTTAGTAATGTGGATTTCCAGTAAGCTCATGAGGTTTTTTTTTTTTTTTTCCAGTAAGAGTGCTATGCATATAAATGGGGTACTACACTGTATAAACAGGGCAATACTAGTAAAAAAAGGCATGTTAAACCAACTGCTGGGACTGGGTAGACAGACTTTCCCATACCTACTCTTCTGCTACTAGAATGAATAAGAGGCCTGTGCTGAGCTCCTCCATGATAGCTTGGAAGGTCTTTTGAGCTGTGGTTTTCTTATCAAGATTGAGATGCAGTTTGAGAACAGTAAGAACCTTTATAGAAGAGAATACCTGGCAGCAAAGGGCTCATATAGCCCTTTAAAACTTAACAAGGACTAGTGCCTGGCAGCTGAATCCAGATAAATCAAATCAGATGCATTTTAACACCAACTAGCTCCTATGGCTGTGGTCCCTCCTTTTACTGGCCTATGGACAAGAACAGGAAGCAACCAACTTCTTGGGGGCTATACTACATTTTTCCCCCCTCTCAACCTAAAGAAATATTTGTAGAAACCAAATCTTTCCATGGTTGTGAGCAATGTTTCCTGTTAAGTCAAGGGTTTTGAGGACCACTACTTTAAAACAGGCCATCAAGTGAAATAACAGACTTCTGTTTATTAAAGCATTAAGAAAAAAAACTTGGTGCCTCTGGAAGGTAAACACAAGTTGCTGGTCTCCCATTAGGGGTAATTGGAGAAGTTCTATGGCCTGTAGCAGGAACATCTGGTTATGTGGTCTAACCGTCTCTTCTGACCTTGGACTCTGCATCAGTCATTCTTCAGTAGCTTAAAAACCCCCCATTCTATCAGTTTGTTTAATGCATTAATTAAAGGTAGCCAGTAATCTATCAAGGGAGGCAAGCAATATGGACTTACTAGGACAGCCCTATGTCCCTGCCCTGTTATCCCAAATTCCATACGTGAAGTGTCAGATTCTGGACCGGAGACCAATATAGTTTCAGTAGCATCGATCAGGAAAAAGGGAAGTGTGGTTTCGACTAATTCAGAATCAAACTAGAAGCCCAACATTAGGTTTCTACTGTTGCTACTACTGCCAGAAGCACTAACAGGCATTTAGCAAGGATTCAGTGACTTAAAACTTCCTTTTCAAAATACAAGGACCGGTCTTTATTTTGACTTTTAGCAGCTTTTAGTGTAACTTATTACTGCTAATCACTTACCATTCTGGGAGCTTTTTTCTAATCCCCTTGAGAGAGACTAATCTTAGGAAAGCCAGCATTTGAGGGGTACAGGAAACAACTGTTACAATACCTACAGATTTTATAGCATTTGAGACATGACAGTTAAGTTAGTTTATAAACAAGTTTCTCTACAAATCTTTAGAGCAGCTTTTTGGGGTTTTTTTATGATTAACTAGTAGGGAAAAATCAGCTGGAAAAAAAGAAAGCAGCAGGAA